TTCTTCAGAAGTGTGGATTCCACGTTGTTCCCGCTGGATTCGATAGCTGGCGTATCTCGTTTTCCATGACAGAAAAAGAAATTCTGGCCTCTTCTCCAGACGGTTTCAAAACATGCTACCGAGTTCTGAAAGTCATGAGAGATGAGATATCGGAGAGTGTGGGATGGGATTCATCCTTGATTCCATCATACATGTTGAAGACCGTCCTTCTTTCTGAGCTATTCCAAACGAACCGCGATCTCTGGGACGGAGAAGTTCAGTGGCAAAGGATATTTCAAGCTTTAGAGCTGGCATTGCAAGGCGTGAAGACGGAGAAAATCTCGAGCTTCTTCATAGCGAGACAAAATCTACTAACAGAAGCTGATCACGAGAACAAACTGCGCCAATGTGTCCTGGAAGACATGTTAAATCAGATGAAGGGTTTGGAATCGGCCCACACACCAGAGGACGCCAGAGAGAGGAAACAACAGATCAGAGTCTTACAAATGACTGATTTGACGGATTACATAATCTCAGGCCTCCTTGCTGGAAGAAACCAGCCGACTGCTCTCTGGAATAAAGTTTTTGAGAACATTGGTAACGTTCCTTTTGGTAGAGGTGACGAAGCAAGGTTTATGAGTGACCTCACTGACCTCAACACTACAGAGCTTGATGAAGATGCCTACAGATGGTTGATCCAAATATGGAATGCGCTGGAAGCTTTCTTCAAGAAGTTACTGAATACTCTTGAAGGGGAGCTAAACATGTTAGCTCATAAATTCTACATCAGAACCTGCGAGAAGAAAAAGAAATTCGAGTCTGAGAATAAAAAGCTGTCGGAAGAAGAAGTTGAACAGATATCTCCTCGTCATTTTGTTTTCGACTGGTTTGATGAGTATGTATATTTTTATACTGAAGAAGAAAGCTCAACCGTGCCAAATATTCGCAAAGCAGTTCCTCACGAGTTCACCCCGTCAGGTTTCCTTCAAGGCATTGCTGATGTTACAGGGAAACAAGGCAGCGACAAGGGGCGTGCTCTTTTAAAAGAGCGTCTCAAATCGTTAATCTCCCTGGTCCCCGATGATTACATCATGGCTGCTGCAGTTGATTATGTTAGCCAATTAATTTTGCATTCTAAAGAAGTAATGAAACAAAAACTCGATTACATCACGTTACCCGAGTTAGATTTGGATTGAGCTCAGTGTGAGAAGACATTGAAAGCTCCGCTAACGGCGGGAGACACGTTCCGTAAGTGGACACTCATATGAAGACACTTACAAGTGGACAACCCTTCTATGTAGACACTTTCTGTATCCAAGTGTGTGCCCTTTTTAAGGGGATAGAAGTTTTACATTACATCATTTCGAGTGGTTGAGGTTACAACAACAACAATAACGCGTTAGGGGTTAGGCGTGGAAAATTTCCATGTAAATCGACCTTTTTTGTCTGCGGGTAATTCATGGCCGCAAAAAATCATTTATCATGTTTTTTAATTTTAAGCGTGCTCAAGTTTCAGAAAAAAAGGCCAAGGATACTTATTCTAATGCAACAAATTTTAGTTACTGTTGACCTGTTACATCAGGTAAACTCTGCCAATCAATATATAGATCACTTCCGTTGCTACATGCCTTGACATAATGTTCTAATTAAAGCAAGGCCATTTGTTATTAGTTCAGTATGTTAGACCCATCATTATTTTATTTCTCTTGGCCAAACGTCTAGTGGAACTGTCGATCTTCTTAACCGAGTTGTTAAGTTTCTGACAGGTAAACAAAGTCATCTTAGTTGGTTGAAAATTTGTCCCATTGGTTGCATGTTTGTCTTTAACTCATCCTCATTACACCTAGTGTTGCGTGACCTCCAGCCAAATCCAGTCTTGTCACACAAGCAAATGTCACAGAAGCAAATTCAACCTCATTACTTCAAATTTTAATTTCTCCCTACTGAATCTTTTATATATTATAATTTTCATGTTTTCACGTTGGTTTTAAGAAGTACGTTGGCTGTATGACGATGAGCGATTAACATATATAACCTATACATGTATGTGTGTAAAGACATTTGTATTACAGTAAAAATACTTCCACTTGCAAAAAAATTAAAGTCAATTTTTTTTGTACAAAAGTAAAAAATCCTTTGTTATAATATGTCCGTACATTCATTTTTTTTCAATATTCTTGTAACATTTTGTTTGTCTCACTGACAAAGTTCTAATTTTACATTCATTGACATCCTACTATTTACAGTGACTAAATGAGCCAACTAGTTTTACCTACATGTACAATATTAATTTTTGTCACTCGTAAGATATATAACTAGCATTATGTCCTCTGTCCCATTTTTCCATAAATCTCTAAAATATTGACAGTAATAAACTGATATAATTATTATCACCCATTTTTTAATGGAAATCATGAGAAATTTGCTTGATCAACAAGGACAGTGTTGCTGAAAAAAAAAAAAAAATTGTTTGATTTAATTATAATGGTTTTCCAAATTGGCTTTTCATTAACACCATCATGTAAACAGATGTCTCCATTTCCTTGCTTTGCAGAAAAGAAGGAAAGCAACAGAAATGGGAGATGTCTCCATGTGGGCTAGTTTAAACATTATACATTTGTGGAAATAAGTACTACTCCATCCAAAGATCATCAACTTGTCTTCAAGCTCATGGGACAATGTGGAAAAAGATAGACATTGGTAATCCAGTAAGACAGTGTTCCTGTAGGGGAAATGATAGAAAAGTTGAAGAATATACAAGGCATAGAATAATTTTCTTATTAACTTTCTCGCAGATCTAACTGTTATTTCCAGCTTTGAACAATAACAGAAATTGTTTGAATGCTTTTGAACATTACAGTTTATAAAATAACTGAGCTATTACGCATGCTCTCATTCGTTGATAGGTGTGTTTAGATGAGAGAATGTAAACACGGTTGTGACGTTATAGATTCATGCATATTTTTGAGAATTATTTCATAAAAGCAATAGAGCACTTTTTCCGTGTTTACTTAGCCTCATCTAAACACTCAGGGGGCCGAGAGAATTCTCAAAAGTTATGCAAACCCTAGGCTACAGTACGTCTCGGGTTTGCATAACTGTCTTGAATTCTCTCAACCTTCCTCGAGTTTAGATGAGGCTATGTAAATGCTGAAAAAGTTCTCTACTG